TATAAGATAGATAAGATAAGGTATAAGTAAAAAAAAAACCAGAGGAAGCGCTATAGTCGAATGCCGCGACTAAAAGATACCCGTTACTGTTTTACACAATTTTAAAATATTCTTTTTGCTAGTTGAGATTACCCAAGCGCCACCTATTGTCGAAGAAAGCATGTCGAGTAACTGATAGTGATGTCACTGCCCTTGAACCTAAATTTCTTCATAAGTAGCGAAAAATCTGAAAAATCTTTGGTAAATCGATAGATATAAACAGAAATAAGTTATACAACGTCAAACGAAGGCATTCATAATATAATTATAGACGCCACAGTGTTTCGCGGTTTGTGGGCGTTAGAGTGGCCGTGGATGAATAAAAACTCGTGGGCAGTCGCAGTGGCAACCCTTACATACATATTCTTAAGCCTAACTTTCTAGCTCTTTTAGTTCCCGAGATTTTTGTATTTTTGGTTTTTCGGGTTTTGTGGGCGTTAGGGTGGCTAGATGGAAAGAAAACAATTCGCATTTGGGGCATCATTATAATCTACATGCTTAATCCAAACTTTCTATCACTTATAGTTACCGAGATATCAGGTTTTCTTGAAAATGCGAAAACCGTCTTTTGAGCTTGGTGGGCGTATAGGTGGGTGTGGCCAGATAATAGTAATACTAAAAGATGCGCTGGCATTCAAGGTTTATGCATACTGAATTTCAACTTTCTAGCTCTAATAGTTCCCGAGATTTCAGCGATTTTAGTTTTTCTCGATTTAGGGGCGTTAGAGTGGGCGTGGCAGGATGATGTAATAAACTTGCGCTGTCCCGGGATCTCAAGAATCTTCATGATTAATCTCAACTTTTTACCTCCTATAGTTCCTGAAATCTCAGCGTTCATACGGACGGACGGTCGGACGGACGGACATGGCTCAATCGACTTCGCTATTGATCCTGATCAAGAATATATATACTTTATAGGGTCGGAAACGCTTCCTTCTATCTGTTACATACTTTTCAACGAATCTAGTACTCTACGAGTAACGGGTATAATTAAAATATCGACTCATTACCACGTTCTTTACTAAAAATACGTATTTAAACCCAAAGTGAAAATTCGTTTCTATTATTTTTTCCATCACTGTATGTGGTTCCTCAACGCTGACAAAAGGTGGCGATTTTTTGAATTTCCATTTAACAATGTATAACTGTAGACTATTGCGTTTCTTCTTGATTTTTTTGTTTTAAGCTAAATTATTTGTACATTTGTACTCAGATACCTCTCCTAAAGCAAAAAAATGGTTTAAGCTCAAATCCATAGAGTTGGAATCATACCTTATCTCTATCTTTCCTATACTAATTATTCGCAGGCCAGGTAAATTCGAATTGTTGATAGTCAAACCAAATACGGTAGGATTTAACATTCGTCACTTATACAGCGGACCTCTCAGAAGTAAACAATGTGATCAATATGTTTCCGCTATCCTAGTTCCTAAACGTTGCTACTGCTCATTTTAAGGACTTATCATAAAACTTCCTAAAATAAACTTATTATTTAGAGAGATAACCGGTATTTCGATACCTATAGTGAGACAGTATTACAGATAATAGACACGTCATTAAAAAGGTGAGGTGGCGCATAAAACACAACAGAGCGACCTGCACCCTTTATCCTTTGCTCCGTGTGCATTTGTTTTTGTAAATACTCGCTGCATATGGAGTGGTTCATCTATAAGGTTTGAGGCGACGCTTTCAATATAATTTGTTCTTGTTAACATTTCGGTGTGGCCGAATGCCACCATAAGATACATACATACCTAATCCGACCTTTCTAGCTCTAATAGTTCCTGAATCGAAAGTTTGTTATCTCCTAAGACAGCAATAATCTGCCTGCGAGATTCTGCAGAAGTTTTCCCCTGTAAAATTTCAAAGTTGCCCGAATTTCTGCGTTTGTGAACTCCATTTCAATCGATTGTAATTTTTTAACGTGGAAGCTCATGTAAACAAACTACTATACGTCATTTTAAAGGTGATGCCATTACCTTTCAAACGATATACAGCAATGCCAGATACGATTATGTTTGACTTCACAAGCGAAGCGCGAAATTTGAATATAAAACGGTATGTCATTACCAATATATTCTTAATCAGTAACAATAGCGAAGTCGCTGACATCTCAGGAACTATTCAGACTAAGCATGAAGATTCTTGAGGTCCGTTGTCGCATTTTCTAAAAAAGCTGATATCTCGGTAACTATAAGTGATAGAAAGTTCTGATTAAGCATGTAGGTTTTTATGATGCTCCCAATGCGAATTGTTTATTTCCGATCAAGCCACGCCCACTTTAACGCCAAAAAAAAATCCGAATAACCAAAAATGCGAAAATCTCGAGAACTATAAGAGCTAGAAAGTTGTGCTTAAAAATACGTATTTAAGAGATGCCACTGCAACTTGGCACGAGTTTTCATTCGGCCACGCCCACTAACAACGAAAACTGTGGCGTCTATAGCATTATTACGAATGCCTTCGTTTGACCTTATATAACTAATTTCTGTCAATCTCTATCGATTTACCAAAGAACTTTCAAATCGGACAAAAAACTAAAAACGCCAAAATCTCAGGAAGTATTAGAGCTAGAAGGTTTGAATTGAGTACGTATAATCTATAGATACCATCTCATCTTATGGTGGTACCGTTATCCGGCCACAGCCCCTCTTACGTCCACAAACGGTCACAAAACTCGGAAAACCGACAATGTAAAAATCTCGAGAACTATAAAAGCTAAAAGTTAAGCCTAAGAACACGTATTTGAAAAATGCCACTGCAACTTGTCACGAAGTTTCATTCGGACACGCCCACAAACCGCTGAAAACTGTGTAGTCTACAATATTATTATGAATGCCTTCGTTTGACCTTGTATATCTTATTTATATTAATTCCTATTGATTAACCAATGGTTTCTTAAATCGGAACATTATTTCGCTATTTAAGAAGAAATTTAAGTTATAAGGCCTCATATGGGCAGTGACGTCACTATCAATTACTCAACATGCTTTTTCCGACAATATGTGGCGCTTTGAGATTTTAAGCTAGCACAATGAATATTAAAATTGTGTAAAACAGGTAACTGGTATCTATAGTCGCGGCACCTGACTATAGCTTTTCTTCTTGTTTCTTGTTTTTAAAATAATATGATTGTATCATATAAAGTATATTTTCTAGTTCAGAATCAATAGCCAAGTTGATTAATCTATGTCCGTCTGTCGGTATAACTGCTGAGATCTCAAGTAGTTCTTATAAGAGATAAAGAGTTAGGATTTAAAATACACATTCATTCATTCACATTGTTAGTAGATTAGCGCCGCGGACGTCGCTTATTCTACACTTAACCGTGAACAGCCAGCTGCAAGAATTTTATCACTGCTTATTGAGCCGATTTTTCGACGAAAATTCAAATTTTTAATAGATAGTTATAATAAAATTTGAATGGTATAATCTTTGACTAAAATGAATCAAGAGATTTTTATTGTTTTGGTGCATCTCAGAAATTTTACCAGCCCTTCAAATTCAACTGTTTGATTGCATGCGTGCGGAACTAAAAAGCGGGAGAAAGATTTTTTACTTGCGAGCGTGCTAAAATTGTTGTGGTTTAAGCAATTTTCCATAAAATTATGGAAAAGAAAGACAAAGGTAGGTAGAATATTTGTATTAAAAAAGACTTTGTTAATGTTTGGGTCAGCAAAAAAAAAAGCTACCCCAATAAGCAGTCGTAATCGAACTTTTGGAATAACATGAACAACAAAAACTATTTTCCTGATTTTGATGATAGCAATAGTGATAGTGATTCAGATTCTGACTCTGAAAATCCGTTTTCAATACAAATTAATGTAAAAAACGACTTTTAGGAGTATTTTTAAAAGAAAAATGCTTATTTATAGTAATTTTGAATGCATTATGTTAGTTCTTACTGATTAATAATAATTATTAAGTGTTCAAGTGTTAAGAAGTAAAAACGTTTGTTGAATTTAACGTGTGCTAGCATTATTTATTACCGTACAAGTGGTCAGATCGATCTGCATCGATCATATGTACCAACTTTGAAAAAACTACCTTTAAAACTTTAATTTTCGTCGAAAAATCGTCTGATAAGAGAAGTAATAGCCAAGTTCGATTAAGCAAGAGGGCGGACTGGTTCAACCTGAGTGAATGAACTGGTTTGTATCATTACATAGGTGAGGTAGCGATGCAAAACCAGGATCAGAGGACCGACAAAGTCAGCTTTGAGAAGGTATGATAAGAAATGTGCATTTTATGTAGTCGCAAACGCTTCGATCTACTTATTACATTCTTTTCAACGAATATACTCTTTTACTCTACGAGTAACTGGTATAAAAACTACATGCTTAATCCCAAATTTCTATCACTTATAGTTAACTAGATATCAGCCTTTCTACAAAAAGCGAAACCCGTCTTTCGAGGTTGGTGCGCGTAAGAGTGGGTGTGGCCGGATAATGGTACAACCATAAGATGGGATGGTATCTCAAGATTATACATCCTTAATCTCAACTTTCTAGCTCTAATAGTTCCTGTGATTTTAGAAATTAGAGTGATTGTGGCAGGGTGCTAAAGTAAACTCTTTTTCTCTTATCTCAGCTTTCATACGGACAGACTGACAGTTCCTATAAGAGATAAAAAGTTGGGATTTAAAATGCGTATTCTTAAGATGCCTTGGAGGCGCATGTTTGTCATGTGCACATGTTTATTGACGTTTTTAAGTTGTTTTGCAGCTGTGCACTGAGAGAAAGAAAAACTTCTTTGAACAAAAAATTGTTAGTAGATTAGCGCCACGATTGTCGCTTATAGAGCCGATTTTACGACGAAAATTCAAATTTTTCTAGAGTGTTATAGTAAAATTTGAATGGTATATACTTTGATTAAAACTAATCAAAAGATTTTAGTGACTTCAGTGTTTATTTTATTATTTATTTAAAATGTAATAACTGCAATATTTAATAATTATTTACCTTTCGATGATGACGGAAATGCCTTTTCCGGTGTTATAAATGGATGCTTGTCGTAATTGGGATCTTCAACCTCTTGACAACGGTATGAGAGATTGCGAAGTATGCATACGCAATTTTCAACTGTTTTATTCCCAATATTGTTTTTCTCAATCGCTGTTCGTACTACATAAAGAAGACATTCTACTAAGTGTTCGCAGTTACGAAGACATCCTCTTGCATGTTCTCCAGCAGAGCTGACATTTCGTAACACTCCAGAAGCATTTCGAAATACTGTAGAAAAACACGTCTCTCCACAACACACTGCATCCCACCCGGAATGAGGCTTAATAACGCTGCAGACTATAGCAACGAGTGCTTCGTCAATAATTGAACGTTTTAAATCTTCACAGGAAGACATATTCCACAATACTCCAGTCACTAATTCTTTAACTTCTGTTTCTTGAGATCGACAAAGAAGATGTACCAATGCGTCTATTCCACCAGCATTTTTTATTCCTCGTTTGTTTTCATCATTTTGTCTGCCGTAAGATAAATTTCGCAGGGCACCGCAAGCATTTCTAAAATAAAGAGCAAGACAAAAAAATATAATAAAATATATATCTTAAAAATAAATTTCATAAACTGCTGAACATTTTTAACATGCGAAGACTGGCTGGCTTGCGTGTAAAGTCGATATAAATAAAAAATTATAAAGTGGATCATACTATACTCTCAGTTTACCAAAATGTACTTATTTCGTAACTGTTGTGGTCACCGTGGGGATAGTTAGTTCAAACAAAAAAGCTGCTATAAATAAAGTAGGCATGGTGACAAGTTATTACCTTTATTTTAACATAAATTGTGAAAAAAATTTCTTATTTGAAAAATGGCAATTGTAAATCGAGGTATTGACAGCACATACTTGTACTGCGTATGCATCTCAAGAAGTTAAGTTCTTGAAATCCAGCGTTTATATAGTCAGACGAACTCGACTATTGGTGAATATATATTCTGTATAGGGTCAAAAACGATTCCTTTTTTTTTTTTTTTTTGTGGGAGTAAAACTTTACATTTCAATAAAACAACGATGTATTAATCGATCGAAATTTTTTTTTATAAGATAATAATAATATTGGGGCATTACATTTTAAATATGATTTCTGGCATATGACCCCAACGGCTGGCTCGGCTGTAGTCCAATCTGGACGTCCGATTTTCGATGACTGTAACTGTCGTTTTTGAAGAAGTAAGGACCAATGATTCCACCAGCCCATAAAGCGCACAAAGCAGTTAGTTTTTCTGGATGAAATGGTGTTTTGACATACACTTGAGGGTTAGCTTCACTCCAAATGCGGCAGTTTTGTTTGTTGATGTAGCCATTCAACCCGAAGTTCGCTTCATCAGGTTTTTCGACGATAAAATGGACGTAGGGCGAGATACGTATTCCGCACAGAACCATTATTTTCGAATTAAACTTCCACTATTTAAAAGCGTTGTTCAGGCGTGACTCTATTCATAATACTCTATACAGAATAAACTTGAAAGCTGGTAAATTGGTTGCCATCTTGAACAGTAATGCCATCATAAAGTTGTATAGCTCTAAAAAAAAACACCCTTTAGATAACGTCAACGATATATATGTATATTTATATATAAAATGCTGGTCGACAAAAATTAAACGCATATTTTTCACCAAAGGAGAACTCAAGGTTTGAGAGGCATCTGTTCAGAAAATGTTTTGCCGAATTTGTTCTGTGTGAAGTATACCTGCTGAAAATCATGGCTTTTCAATTCACGAATGAAAAAGTTGGTAATCATGGCTCTATATCTTGTGGAATTGCATTTTAAATATGATTTCTGGCATACGACCACCACGGCTGGCTCGGATATAGTCTAATCTGGACGTCCAGTTTTCGATGACTCTTTCCAACATTTGTGGCCGTATATTGGCAATAACACGGCCAATGTTGTGTTCTAAACTCAAGCGTTTGTGGCTTATCAGAATAGACCAATGACTTTACGTAGCCCCACAGAAAGTAGTCTAGCGGTGTTAAATAACCAGATCTTGGAGGCCGATTTAACTTACCATAGTTAATGACTCGCTGCGCGTTGCGAAATACAAAATGGGGCAATCCCGTCTGGGTCACCAAAATGTTGAGCAACTTAGAGTTTTTAATTGCTGTAGAATAAATAAACCAGGGCAGTTCGATTTCCAAATTTTATTCCGAGTTCATATCAAACCAAATCAACCTCGCAACAAGACCACCCCAAATGCAAGAAGTACAAGCTTAACCACAAAAGCTTCGAGCTACAGCAGTTCTAAAAAATCTCCCAAAAGCGCATGCATTACAAAATAACAGTAAAGTGCATGCGAAAGTCGGAGAACCAAAACAAAATAGAAACTGCTGATAAACCCGCCGCGGCTAAACGGCGTCGGGGTCACCAATATGTTGAGCAACTAAGAGTTTTTAATTGCTGTAGAATAAATAAACCAGGGCAGTTAAATTTCCAAATTTTATTCCGAGTTCAAATCAAACCAACTCAACTCCGCAACAAAACCACGCCAAATGCAATAAGTACAAGCTTAACAACAAAAGCTTCAAGCTACAGCAGTTCTATTAAAGCTCCCAAAAGCGCATGCATTACAAAATAACAGTAAAGTGTATGCGAAAGTGGGAGAACCAAAACAAAATAGAAACTGCTGATAAACCCGCAGCAGCTAAACTGCGTCGGGCTCACCAAAATGTTGAGCAACTAAGAGTTTTTGATTGCTGTAGAATAAATAAACCGGGGCAGTTCAATTTCCAAATTTTATTCCGAGTTCAAATCAAACCAAATCAACAACAAAAGCTTCGAGCTACAGCAGTTCTATAAAATCTCCCAAAAGCATGCACTACAAAATAACACTAAAGCGCATCGAACGTGGGAGAACCAACACAAAATAAAAACTGCTGATAAGCCCCGCGGCTCATTCGCAGCAGTCTGGCGTCTTATGTCGCCAGAGCATGTGCATCGTGAGAGCGCAACTCTTCGATGGACTTGTGTGTAGAGTTATATGTGCGTACAGCGGTCCCTTGCAGACGACGGATATTATCCTTATATAGCGACTCAATAATTCGCATCTGCTTTCACATCATACTCGAAAAGCTGAGGGGTCCGTCGATTTCGCTGTATTCTTGTGAGTGGATCTGATCCTTGAAGGATCGAACATGTTCTTGATATTGGTCGTCTCGTGGGTAACCGTGTCCCTGGTGGTCTGCACCTCGATACTGAGGCGGCACAATAAAAGGGATAGCTAAATAAGCGAGAGAGATAAGCTTATGGAATGACAGCGCGCTGAGGAAGGAGATCAAAAGCCTGCTGAGTGTGGCGCAATGATGGGAACGAGAGGAAGACCAAGAGCAGGCGGAAAGCATTTGAGAAGAGCAGTCAGGAGTCAACAGACGTAAAAAAGATCATTGCGACTCGCTGCGCGTTGCCAAATACAAAATGACGGACGAAATCCACTATCGCATCTTACCATTAGCACGCCACACCCACTCATATGCCCTAGACTATAGCGTTTCTTCTTGTTTATGATGCCCCAATGCGAATTGCTTTTTCCCATCTAGCCAAGTCCACAAAAGTTCTCACTCCAGCTCGACGAGAGTTTTCATCTGGCCAGGTCTACTCTAACGCACACAAGCCGCGGAAGCTGTGACGTCCATAATATTATAATGTATGTCTTCGTTTGACCTTGTATGACAAGTTTTTTGTAATATCTATCGATTTACCAAAGATTTTTCAAATCGGTACATTTTTTCACTATTTATGAAGAAATGCAGGTTATAAGGCCTCAAATGGACAGTAACTTCCCCATCAGTTAGTAAACATGCTTTTATGACAAAAGGTGGCGCTTCGGCCATTTACACTAGCAAAATAAATAATTAACAAGAGGAAACGCTATAGTCGAGTGCCGCGACTATATGATACCCGTTACTGTTTTACAAAATTTTAAAATATTATTTTGCTAGTGCCACCTATTGTCAGAGAAAGTATGTTGAGTATGCTTATAGTGACGTCACTGCCCATGTGAGGCCTTATAACTTAATTTCTTTATAAATAGCGAAATAATGTTCCGATTTGAAAAATCTTTTTGTAAATCGATAGATAATAAATAATAAAATAATAAATTATGTCCGAAATTTTATGTTTAACAGAAAAATAATAATTCGTGTCGGTCAACACAGATCCAACACACTACCCTTATTCAATGGAATCCCTTAAGGATCCCCAATCTCCGTTATACTATTCCTCATAGCCTTTAATAAATTGTCCGATATAATATCCTTACACAAGGAAATCACAGTTAATGCATACGCTGATGACTATTTTCTCATAATTAACTTTAATAAAAAGAAAAATATTAGCTTTAACCTAGGCAACTTTCTAAATGACATAGAAAACTGGGGTTCATATTCCGGGGCATCCCTATCCTTATCAAAGTGCCAACACCTCCACATTTGCAAAAAGCGCAACTGCACTTGTGTCGTTACATTCAATAGCATGCAAATCCCCACAGTAAACTCGTTAAAAATCTTAGGAATAAATATAGACAGCAAATACAAATGAAACACACACATAGATAAACTTATACCTGCACTTCATAAAAAACTAAATATAATAAAATGCCCATCCAGTCTCAAGTTTAACTGCAGCACATACACATTAATTAACGTGGTAAAAGCTACTATTGTTGCAAAAATAGATTACGGCCTGTTCCTATACGGACACGCACCCAAAACCACACTTAACAAATTAAAACCGCCCCTAAACTCCGCTATTCGCCTAGCTCTCGTCGCCTTTCGTTCTACTCCAACAAATAACCTCCTACAAGAAGCCAATATTCCTCCAATAGAATTAAAACGAGATCTGCAAACAGCCAAACTAACTAAAAACCTCATTTAATCCAATGACACACCAATTCACAAATTCGCAAAACAAAGTAAAATTAAAAAGAAATCTCCACCAATTATAGACCGTATAATGAATCTCTGCCAGCAATTTCACCTACCTTTCGAACCACAAAAACTAAACAAACTCAAGCCACCCTGGGACCTACCCAACCTTATAGACACATCCATACGACTACATAAAAAAGCAACACACCCAAAGAAATATATCAGAAAATATACGAAGACACTAAATCAAACCTTAAATCACACAACTTTATATTCACTGACGGATCAAAAATAACCGACATTATAACATACGCCATTACAACGGAAACAAGCATCCTAAATTGTGGAATCCTACCACCATACTCCTCTGTTTTAACAGCCGAAATCATCGCCATTCTCAAAGCTATCAAAATTATAAAAAACAAAAGAGGCAAATATGTAATCTGCTCAGACTCCCTCGGAGCAATAGACTCAATTAAAAATACAAACAATAATAATATTTACCCAAATAAAATAAGATCACTATTAACACAGTTAGAACCAAAAATAAAATTAATTTGGATTCCTGGCCATGCAGGCATTACGGGAAACGAACTAGCAGATCAAGCAGCAAAGTCGACCAACAAGAGCCCACTAATCTTTACACCCAATATAAATCCTACTGACATAAAAAGACAACTCAAATCTGAACTCAAGGCAAGACAAAGCCAAAACTTAATACACTGTAGCCAATGGTACCAATCCATCAACACCAATAGCCACCATATTAGCGACCATTTTAGACAAACCCACCCAAACTGGAATAGACTCGACCAAACTAAAATTACCCGACTACGTCTAGGACACACCAGCCTCACCCACCAACACTATCTGAACCAAATTCCAACACCACCTTGCCCTTTCTGTCAAGGCAACCTCTCCCTACACCACATACTAAACACATGTCCACCTCTCCTGCAAACAAAGCAAACTATCTTCCAGAACTCCAACCCGCTACATCTCCTCAATGACCTAAACCCAGAAAACATTAATAAAATACTACTTTTCCTAAAATCAACACAATTATACAACAAAATCTAAATAAAAACATTTAATAAGACTAGTTGCCTAACTTAAGAAAAATAATGTACAGAATAAATAGATAACGATTAAATATTAAGTTAAGACACAACATGTATATATATCATCCCTTAAGACTTAAGCACCAAAAACAAACATAGCCGAAGGCCACAGTAGCCAGCGCTATATCATTAAGCTAGTCTAGTTTTGTAAACTTTTCTACCTTTTATAATAATAATAATAATAATCTTTTTTAATATAGTATACAATTTTTTTTTCCAAAAGTAACGAGTATAAGTATGTATGACACAGGTGACTAGGAAAAACACATATATTAAACACATATGGGTAAATAAAAGTGAACCCGAGGAAATGCAGAAATTGACGGCGTGTAAAATTTTACTAGCATTGCTTACTGACACAACCATAGAACGTCAAGGGTGTCACTTTTAGACACTAAAAAACAGCAAGAAAAGAATAACACAACCGAAAGCTTTCCGTGTTTTGTGTTTTTGCATTTCGTCACTCACAGTAAGCGTCGATTCTATTTTACCAGACACCCAAACATTTTACATAGATAAGTGAACAATGCACTCAAGGCAAATGTAAGAACAGCAACGATAGATCACAAACACTCATGTTTTACAGTTATAGTTTCAAGTGTCTTCAACTTTTATGCATGGGCAGGGCATTGAGCAATGATCGCTGGATTGTTTTGTAGTCGTTTTATTTTAGTTGTTTATTGATGCCTTAGAAGGAAGAACATAAGGAAAGATGTGTTATGACAAAATTTTACTTTCCATTGTTAAGAAAGACGGAAGTGTCGTGAAAGGGTGGCTATTTTACAGCACCTGCCGAAGTGCTGGTATTTGTAGCTGGCCACACATTAATTTTGTCTCGGCATAAATGACATCAAGGCAACCAGGAGAAGTGACGAAAGGGTCGGCAACAGACAAAGCAGAAGCTATGAAAAAATGCAGTCAATGGATTGTCCAAGACTGTCAGGTGTGGATGACTCGCTGCCTAGTCCATCAACGTTCAGTCGAAAGGTCCGCAAGACGCTTGGCTATCACAATGAAGTATAAAAAAAACAACGTTCTTGGTGATTTAATTTTGGGTCTTAAGTCAATGAAATCAGAGAAAAGCACCGCAGAAAACATTTTAACTGAAATTAAAAGAGTGTTCTCAAAATTTATTATGATAACATTGAGGGGATCAAATTTGTAACAGATAGAGGCAGAAACTTTATAAATACATCAGGCTTGACTACATCAGTCATCTTTTGAATAATTGTAAAGGACAATCATTTACAGAAACAACCGATCTAGACAAAACAGTGACGCCAATTTGCAGCATAAGTTTAACACTTCTTTAAAGAGTTCATGCCCAACAAGGTGGAACTCCAACTACGCAGTAGTGAAATCTAACGACGATAATTGAGTGGCTGTTAACACTATATTAAGCGAGAAAGGACCCGAAAGATTGATGGATGTCAATAGGTCAACATTTGAAATTTTAGTTGTGTTGCTGCAATCCTTCGAAAGAATTTTTAAAGAACTTCAAACTTGCAGCACGCCCTCAATTTGTTTTGCGCTGCCTTAAAGTATAACAAGAGGAAACGCTATAGTCGTGTGCCGCGACTATAAGATTCCTTCGGTTTGTGGGCGTGGCCGGATGAAAAATCGCGACAAGTTGCAGTGGCATCTCTAAAATACGTGTTCTTAAGGCTAGCTTTCTAGCTCTTATAGTTCCCGAGATTTTCGCATTTTTGGGTTTTCGGGTTTTGTGGGCGTGGCTTTATCGGGAAAAAAACTTGCGCTGCGTATGGACCTTAAGAATCTTCATATTTAATCTCATCTTCCTATCTCTCATAGTTCCTGAGATCTCAGCGTTCATACGGACAGACAGACGGACATGGCTCAATCGTACTGATCAATAAGTATCCTTCTACCTGTTACACACTTTTAAACGAATCTAGTATAACCTTGTACTTTACAAGTAACGGGTATAAAAATGTATATGCTATGTGCACCCAATATACCAGATATCTCATGAAATGCCACATTAAAATAAACAACAAAAACAAAAATTGTTTGCATATGGGTAAATAAAAGTGACTATTTGATAAAAAAAAAACTAATTTATTAAACACATATGGATAACTTAAAGTGAACCCGAGGAAATGCAGAAATTGACGGCGTGTAAAATTTTACTAGCATTGCTTACTGACACAACCATAGAACGTCAAGGGTGTCACTTTTATACACTAAAAAACAGCAAGAAAAGAATAACACAACCGAACGCTTTCCGTTATTGTGTTTTTGCATTTCGTCACTCACAGTAAGCGTCGATTCTATTTTACCAGACACCCAAACATTTTACATAGATAAGTGAACAATGCACTCAAGGCAAATGTAAGAACAGCAACGATAGATCACAAACACTCATGTTTTACAGTTATAGTTTCAAGTGTCTTCAACTTTTATGCATGGGCAGGGCATTGAGCAATGATCGCTGGATTGTTTTGTAGTCGTTTTATTTTAGTTGTTTATTGATGCCTTAGAAGGAAGAACATAAGGAAAGATGTGTTATGACAAAATTTTACTTTCCATTGTTAAGAAAGACGGAAGTGTCGTGAAAGGGTGGCTATTTTACAGCACCTGCCGAAGTGCTGGTATTTGTAGCTGGCCACACATTAATTTTGAGTGTGTTCTCAAAATTTATTATGATAACATTGAGGGGATCAAATTTGTAACAGATAGAGGCAGAAACTTTATAAATACATCAGGCTTGACTACATCAGTCATCTTTTGAATAATTGTAAAGGACAATCATTTACAGAAACAACCGATCTAGACAAAACAGTGACGCCAATTTGCAGCATAAGTTTAACACTTCTTTAAAGAGTTCATGCCCAACAAGGTGGAACTCCAACTACGCAGTACTGAAATCTAACGACGATAATTGAGTGGCTGTTAACACTATATTAAGCGAGAAAGGACCCGAAAGATTGATGGATGTCAATAGGTCAACATTTGAAATTTTAGTTGTGTTGCTGCAATCCTTCGAAAGAATTTTTAAAGAACTTCAAACTTGCAGCACGCCCTCAATTTGTTTTGCGCTGCCTTAAAGTATAACAAGAGGAAACGCTATAGTCGTGTGCCGCGACTATAAGATTCCTTCGGTTTGTGGGCGTGGCCGGATGAAAAATCGTGACAAGTTGCAGTGGCATCTCTAAAATACGTGTTCTTAAGGCTAGCTTTCTAGCTCTTATAGTTTCCGAGTTTTTCGCATTTTTGGGTTTTCGGGATTTGTGGACGTGGCTTTATCGGGAAAAAAACTTGCGCTGCGTATGGACCTTAAGAATCTTCCTATTTAATCTCATCTTCCTATCTCTCATAATTCCTGAGATCTCAGCGTTCATACGGACAGATAGACGGACATGGCTCAATCGTACTGATCAATAAGTATCCTTCTACCTATTACACACTTTTAAACGAATCTAGTATAACCTTGTACTTTACAAGTAACGGGTATAAAAATTTATATGCTATGTGCACCCAATATACCAGATATCTCATGAATTGCCACATTAAAAGAAACAACAAAAACAAAAGTTGTTTTCATATGGTCAACATATTTGTCCATTAGGCACAAGGTGGCGTTTTTTCTGTCACTGACCTTAAGATCCGTATCAAAACAAGAATTTTTTCCCAACATTAGTTGCTGCACCATCAATTAACAGCTCAAGACAATCTCCAATAGAAGAAATAAAACAATATTGTAGAGAAAGGGTTATTTTAAGTCAGGATTTTTGTATTGCAGTGGTGGAGAGTAAATGGAAACCTTTCCCTCTTCTGTCAAAGGTGACATTGAAGTAGTGCAACTGCAAGTAGTGCACCGGATTTTTCATTCGCAGGGATTTCATTACTGAATAGCGAAATAGATTGGCTCCAACATCGGGTATACTTATTCTTAGGGTGAACCCTTGCCGTTCTCTGCTCACAACCATGTGAAACCTTCCAATTTAAATATATTAATGCATATTAAGTTATTGCGGAAACCAGGTTGCAACCTCTGGATTCGGTTTTATTGCCCGACTTCATATTTCATTAAGGACGGCTAAACCACAAGTTTAGACGTTACATAATTACTCAGACATGTAATATCACTTTCTAAGAGAGGTAAACTTATCCAAGTTCAAGTGTGCAACAACGCCCATTTCGGAATAGCGATTGTCTTATAAAAATGTTTTCCTTACCTAATGTACCAAAACAATATGAAAGGACTATACTGGCAATATTCTGTATAATTACATATAAACTGTAGCCTACTGCAAGAAATTATTTTGACGATTTTTTTACTTACTTGTGTATTTCTGGAGAATCATATGACAGCAGCCGAACTAAAGGAGGTATTCCTCCGAGGCATCTGGTTCGTTGCTTGTTTGGGTCATCCATGTAGCATAAGTGTTGTAAGTATGCTGCTGCATTTGCCTTTATTGCACTGTTTGGATTGCTTAAAAAACTTATAACTTCCGACAAATTCGGATCTCGCCACCTCATTGTTGGGCAAATTTCATTTTCTGATTCTTCAAGATATTCATCTTTTTCTCCAAGCTTTTGAGGCATGGTATTATACGAACTCATGGCGAATTGTGGTAATTTAAATTCTACTGAATTTTCAAAGGTTCGAATTTGCGAATCCGAGGTTTCTTCGGACTCATTAAAGTTATCATTAAAAGGCCGTCCAGAAAATGATTTAATGTTTGATATTGTGCTTTGAACTCCTGCGTAATTAGCTTCAGACTTATAGCAGTAAGGTACAACTGATTCATCTGTGTACTCAGAGGCTATACCACAAGGTATTCCAGCTACACCATATTCTGTGGTGTCATCAAACTGTCCTGCTTGTACGTATCTCACCGATGCAGTTAACGAGTTATTTTCCATACCAGGAATAGAAATATCTGGTGAAGTGGTCTCAATCTTATTTTGAGGGTCCATAACTGAACATTCTGGCCCAACATTTGTTATGGCACCAAATTCAGGCGGTTTTGTGATATATATGGGCGAGTTCGTAAATCCAGATGTCGAAAATGGTTCATAATTTTGAAATGATGGATATTGGGATTGCATATTTGCAGTCTCGTGGGACAATGATAGATCCATATTTAAAGTATGAGTTGAATTATTTTTTAAACTGGAATAAAAATAACAAATAGCAGTTAAACATTTAAAAGCGTAGTCAAATTTAATTTGAGATCTCTGAGAGATTAAAGTTACGGAGAGTAATTATACCCGTTACTCGAAGAGTATAAGGGTATTCTAGATTCGTTGAAAAGTATGTAACAAGTAGAAGGAAGCGTCTCCGACCCTATAAAGTATATATATTTTTGATCAGGATGAATAGCGAAGACGAATAAGTTTGTCTGTCCGTATGAACGCTGAGATCTCAGGAACTATAAGAGATATCAAGTTGAGATTAACCATGAAGATTCTTGAGTTCCCTACGCAGCGCAAGTTTATTATATAAAATCTCAGAAATTATTAGAGCTAGAATAGTATGTATAATCTTTAGATGCCAGGGCAACTTATCATCTTATAGTGGTACTACTATCCGGCAACATTTTCTAGAGAACCAGGTATCTTGGTAACTATAGAAGATAGTTCTGATTAAGCATGTAGATTTTTATGATGCTCCCAATGCGAATTGTTTTTTTTTCCGATCAAGCCACGCCTACTCTAACGCCAACAAAACCCGAAAAACCAAAAATAAAAAAATCTCGACAATTAATCTTAACTCTGTAGCTCTTATAGTTTTCGGGATTATAGCGTTTATAGGGTGAGTGAGGTATAGAGTGAGGTTAGTCAGATGACCGAAAAAAAAATCAATTCTGCCCACGGAAGAATTGCGTTTTAAAATTGCTATAAAAATAGCAATACTTTCCAATTTTCTTTGAGCGTAAACTTAACCATTTCGTAAACCGGAAACCTTCTACTAAATATCTTACACATTGACAACTTTCTAGCTCGTTATAGTGGGCGTGGCAAGATTCTGAAATATACTTGCGCTGCGTATGGCCTCAAGAATCTTCATGCTTAATCTCAATCTTGTACCTTTTTTAGTTTTTCGTGTTGTGTGTGCGTTAGAGTGGGCTTGCGCTGCGTATGGACCTCAAGAATCTTCATGCGTAATCTCAATTTTGTATCTCTTATAGTTCCTGAGATCTCAGCGTCCATACGGACAGACGGACATGGCTTAATCGATTTGGCTATTGGTCCTGATCAAGAATATATTTACTTTATAAGGTCGGTAACGCTTCCTTCTACTTTTCAACGAATAAATTTTACCCTTTTACTCTAAAAGTAATGATCATAACAGACATTTGCGCCGTTCTCCGCTATTTAAAAAATAGGAATAAAAGGCAGTATAATACTATTATAATTCATATCAAAAAAAAGATATCGAAAAGGATGAACATCTTTTGGATCCTGTCACAACATTACGCCAATGAAAACCAGGAAATGCCTAACTACTCTTTGATTCGAAGTCTTTTGACGCTATTGATGGTCGCGTCAGTTAACCTCAAGCTATGCAGCATCGGCTCTTCAACATTAGGTTTTATACCACCTAGCAGAAGAGCTTTCAGCTTTTCTTTAAACTCAAAATACAGAAAATGAGCTCAAATTGTTTTTAGATATTGCCGAAATAAATGTTTTCCATGTACCCCTTAAGGAAGACACAAATTTTATAAGTTTAGAGTATAAAAGTGGTTTACAAATTTTTAAAATAATTTTACTTAACAACTATTCTGTATGTATACATATAATTTATTGCTTATGGTTAAATCGTTTTGCAAGTCATTGCTTAGAAAGTCATCATATTGAAAGAAGTACAAATATTGGTTATGCCTTTTGCAATAGTCTAATTTATATACATAGAGTAGTTCTTTGAAGATTCTTATTTCTTATGGGTTAAGACGTATTGGCTTTAAAATATAAAGGTCGAATCCGAACACTTTGTTGTTGATTTAGAAAATTGTTTCTGTAGGTTTTAAATAAATCATTACATTTATATAGAGTATATAATTATATATATAGAAAATTGTTTCTGTAGGTTTTAAATAAATCATTACATTTATATAGAGTATATAATTCATAGGAACGCTCTGTTCCCGGTTGTAAGCCGTGGTCCGCTACACACCGACGAACAAACATACATACATGTATGTATGGATGTACACGCATGCAAGCCTTGCCACGCCCCCTTATGCGAGTATTCCTAAGTTGTGGTAGTAAAGATGTGTTGAAATAAAATTAAAAGACCAATTACATAAATTAGATACATATAAAGAATTTTGTTTAACCAGTCAAAAAAAAACAATGTACATGCATACCTGTGCTTAGATATGTACATAGTAATCATATACATGTTTTCTTATTACATTAATACATGATTTTCTTATGACGTCCGACATAGATTTTTTAAGTTTTCCTATGATATTCATTTGGTTGTAATTTTTGTATAGTAATTTTGTTTTGGGTACTACAATCTGTATTATAATTTGAATGTACGTCAATATCTACTCAGTTGAACTTATAGTCTACTTTCACATACCTAAGAGATGTAGATATGCGCTCTCGTCTTTACAGATATTGCACTACATTATAATCAAACTTCCATCAGAAATTCAGGCAAAATGTTATAAAATCTAACAAAATCTTATCTTCAAAGACGGATAAAGTTGTGGTACATCTACAAGAACTAGTTCAATAGCGAGTTCAATATGTAGTCGGGATGTGAAATATATAAAATATCAATATATCGATATGTTTCAACAAAATTAAATATTTATATCGTAAAATTTTATTGCCTGAAATATCGAATACTGATATTTTATTTGCATTTGTATTATTTCCTAATTGGTTACATTGATTAGAAAAAGCAAAACTTAAGCAAAGATAAACGTAGGAAAAACTTGATTTGCAATACCTCGGCCTTAAAAGCTCAGCTCTCAGCGTTCATACGGACAGACGGACAGATGGACATGGCTTAATCCACTTCGCTACTGATACTGATCAAGAATATATACACTTTATAGGGTCGGAAACGCTTCCTTTTACCTGTTATTTATTTTTCAACGAATCTAGGATGCCATATTACTCTACGAGTAACGGGTATAAAAGCAAAAGGAATCGCTATAGTCGAGTGCCGCGACTGTAAGAACGCCGTTACTGTTTAACACAATTTTAAAATATTCATTTTGCTAGTGGAAATTCACAAGGCGCCACCTATTGTCAGAGAAAGCATGCTTATAACCTAAATTTCTTTATAAATAGCGAAATAATGTTCCGATTTAAGAAACCATTGGTTAATCGATAGGAATAAATAGAAATAAGATATACAAGGTCAAACGAAAGCATTCATAATAATATTGTAGACGACACAGTTTTCAGCGGTTTGTGGGCGTTAGAGTGGGCGTGGCCGGATGAAAACTCGTGACAAGTTGTAGTGGCATTTTTAAAATACGTGTTCATAACTTTCTAGCTTTTATAGGTCCCGAGATTTTTACATTGTAGATTTTCCGAGATTTGTGGGCGTTGCGATGGGCGTCGGAAAAAAACACTTCGCATTGGGGCATACATGCTTAATTCGAACTTTCTATAACTTATAGTTACCAAGATATGAGATTTCCTACAAAGGTGGAAAACCGTCTTTTGAGCATGAAGGGCGTAAGAGTGGGTCTGGCCGGATAATGGTATCACAAGACCGCGCGGGTTTGGGTTCGGAGGGGGATATCTCATAAACCATCACGCTTTTGATCAAATCCTCAACAAGGAAAGTTTTAAGTTACGATAGAATAATAAAATAAACTTGCGCTGCGTAGGGACCTCAAGAATCTTTATGGTGTGGTGAGAATATAATGCCATACTTTTGGTCTTGTCGTTTGTAGTGTAAAACACAATGGTTTAGTTTAGTGATCTTTATTTTGGAGCAACATGTACGCGTCGCTCCAATTGCTGGACAATATCTGTTTTATCCAAAAACATTAAGGCTTTGCTTAGGCTAAGCCGCGTAGCTGCGCAGCCGGTAAAGCCAGCAGCGGAGCGGCTGCATTATGTATACATATATATATGTTGTTTTATATTGGCGGAAGGAATGTGTTATGCGCTCTCTTTGTTATGTATGTAAAAACGCGACGGCCAGCGAGGAAACGCGTTGTCAGCACTTTAAATTCATAGCGCATATATGTGATCATGTTACACATGCACTTGAATTGGGATGTTTACAATAACATTGCAACAAAGTGTCACAGTGTATTTATACATATAAATTATGTATGTATTGGTGCTGTATATAAGTACACTAGAGATTCGATAAGTGCGCATAGTACAAAGCAGTTGTTAGTTGTTGTTTTTGTTTGTTGGTAGGTAGACTACGGGAGCTCAATAGGAACATTGTGGATATTGCGACACAAGAATCGACGTTCGGACCCACTTGTAGAGTGCCCGATTCACGAGACAATGGGAAATAGCACCCTTCCAACAAGAGAAATCGACTCTATGTCCTCAATATCCACTAGTACCACCTCCAGTGAATCTAGACAATACAGCTTTATAAATACATATAGAACAATTCTAGTATTTTTTTTATTTAGACTTAAGAGCAACGTTTATATTTAATCCTCTTACTTCCCCATACGTCAATCCATGTTATAAAAACAAATTCTTTAAACATCATCACATCATCGCGTAAGGCCTCGTATATGTAACCGAAAAATTTGGTTAGAGCCAATTTGTAATTACCTAGAAACTGGAGGATAAATAAATAATTTTAAAATGTCTTTTTTTAATACTTTCCTTTGTACCGTTACTACTAACATAACTACTACTAACTTTAAGTTTTGTTATTGTTAATATTTTTTTTATTTTAGTAAATTACTCTGAATAACTTTAGCCAGAGTTTACCAGAGTTGATCTTATGGATTGTGATAATAGGTTGGGAGGGCAAACTTAGTTTTATCCATTCTTCCGGACAAAGATCACATGCATGTTTCGGGTGCTCTTTCAAATCCTCAATACAAAAAATAAGTTCTTTAACTCTCTAAATTTTTTTTCGCGACTCCCGTTGCTTAACGTGCAACCCACCTCCCGCCCAACCGACCGAGGGGCGCTGCCGTCTGACGTACGGCTCGGAACACGGGGATAGATCCGAGTGGATTAGTAAAGATACGAGGAAAGTTAGTTTTGTGCTAAATGGATTAGTATCGAAACTTTCAAAGTGTTAGGAGAAGAGCTTGAAGTAATGTTATAAAGATCATTGTAGTTTGAACATAGTACCCGAAATGGTTCATGTTGGGCAAAGTTCGAACCACAATGCTCTAAGGATAGATGAATATAGTTTCTAGTAATCCTAAGGGGTACGTGGATATTCAATTGGCCTAGAAGGGCCTGATTATGGATTATGGATAAAGCCGACACCAAGCATCGTCCTACGATTAGCGAGGGATGGCAAATTGATTTGTAAGAGTCTACTATTATAAGAGGGAAGGTGTATGTTTGCATCCCAGTTGAGACCGCGGAGAGCAAATATTAAAAAATTCTTTTAGATGGATTCAATAAGGCACTGGTGAACCCCATACTGGGTGTCCCAGATACAAAATCCATATTCCAGAATCGGACGAACTAAAGAAATAAAAAGTGTTTTGGTAAAGTAGGGGTCGTTAAAGTCCTTCGACCACCTTTTAATGAAACCAAGAACTCCTCTAGCTTTATTAACCATAGAGGAAATGTGGTCGGAAAACTTAAGTTTTGCATCGAGTAGGATGCCAAGATCTTTAACTGCATTAATTCTTTCCAGAGCTATACCATGCGGAGTATAAGTGGCAGCTTTAGGTCTTAGGCAACAGAAGGTCATTGCTATGCACTTAGAGCCATTAAGATTTAATAAGTTTGCAGAGCACCAGTTTTGAAAATTATTAAGGTCAGATTGCAGTTTCACCTGGTAGGAGGCATCGGTATATTGCAGGCAGAGTTTGACATCATCTGCATACATAAGTACTAGAGAGTCATTAACAACCAAGGGAAGGTCATAAATGAATAAAGTAATAAGAAAAGGACCAAAGTGGCTCCCCTGAGGGACCCCGGAGGAAGCATAGACTAAAGCAGACACTGAATTTTTAAAAAGAAATCGTTGCGTTCTACCTGTGAGATAACTGCCAATCCAACCCAGGAGATCAGTAGGAAAACTGATAAGACCGATTTCTAAAAGAAGGCCGTGATTCACAGAGTCAAACGCTTTACTGAAGTCAGTGTAAATGACATCCGTCTGAAGTTTATTTTGGAAACCAGTGATCACGAAGGATGTTAGTTCCAGAAGATTGGTAGTGGTAGACCGTTGTTTCATAAAGCCATGCTGGCATGGAGATATGACAAATCTACACTGATGCTGCAAGTGAGGCACAAGAATTTTTTCGAAAAGTTTCGGAATTGCTGATAGTTTCGATATACCTCTGTAATTTTCAGCATCCGATAATAAGGGACTCTTTCCAGATAGCGGGAAAGTTGGACGTTTCCAGGGAAAGGTTAAATAATTTTAAAAGGGGTTTGGCCAGGGTAGCAGAGCAGTACCTAAGCACACAGCCCGGTACCCCGTCTGGTCCTGGCGAAAAGACTGGCTTCACATTCTGAAGATTCTTTATAACCCCACATTCCGACAAGGTGGGTCGGGAAATAAAGTTAGACCGGGGGATATCATAAGCGTAAGTCTGCGCGTTTATTAACAAAGATGAATAGGTACTTTGAAAAAACTGTGCAAAAAGATTGGGAATTTCCTGATCAGTGCATGCGTTAGATTTTCCAAACGATAGCAAAGACGGAAATGTTTTAGATTTACGCTTAGTGATAACAAAACTATAGAACTGTTGCGGATCCAGGGCAAACTGGTTCTTACATCGAGCTAAATAGATCTTATAACACTGAGTGTTACTCACGGTAAAGTTAGACTGAGCCACCATATAATGCACGAAACAGTCATTGCTATTAGTTCTTAAGAATTTTTTAAATAATCTTAATTTGATATTTTTTAGAATAGAAAGGTGCCTTGTATACCAAGGGGGTTTATCCGCCATAGCCGGATACCGCAACGGAACAAAGCGATCAAAAATTAGGTTTAATGTACTATAAAATATATCTAGAGCAGTCGAAATATCGGTGCATGCTTACAAATCGGACCAGTCAAATTCTGAAATAAAGTTATTTATTTTTTTAAAGTCGGCTTTACGAAAACATCGAATTTTCTTATCAGCGTAATTGTTCTTAGGCTTAGTGCATAGCCCCGTATCGATCGTAAGATCTAATGTTGGATGATAAGGATATTCAGGGAGTGTGAGAGGTGGAGCTCTGTAAATGGATACGGCGTCCGTATCAGAGAGAAAGCACAGATCGAGCAAACGACCTAAAGAATTCCCTTTATGATTAATTTGAGCCAGGGACATGTCTAACATGCCAGCAGTAAAGTCGTGATGCGACATAGGTGTTAAAACTAAGGTGTTATTGTTCATGGACTAAGCCACCTGGGGTAGGTTGAAATCACCCAAAACCACCAGCTGATCCATGTCCGACAACATTGAGAAGACAGACTGAATGGCTGCTAGGTGCCGCTCATATGTCAAGGAATCGGACTTAGGCGGAATATAAGAGCAAGTGATATATAAATTTAACCTAGACAAAGAGATTTTAACTGTAATAAATTCTAAGTCTCCAGTTTGAAGATTTATCACCTCGGAAACGA